CCATCACAACTGGGCTTGTTGGTAAAGCACGACTGTACATTGTGCACTGAATGGACGGGACGCAAGAAACATACACACACAATAAGGGCTTGTTGCATATATCTTCCTTGCGTTCCGTCAATTCCGTGCCTATAAAATCTACGGACTCCTTATCTTAACACAGGGAACTATTCTGGAAGACATATGGCGCCTCCATGTTACTCTGTAAAAGGAAAGGGACTGCGCATGAAAAATCCCTAGGTGCTGAAGTGCAGGAAAGGCAAAAACAAGAAATGGAGAAATACAAAATACGTGTTCTCGACATTTGCAGGTTACATAATGAATGAAACCGGCTTAGACCTTATCGGTTCATTTTATACCTCCCACCAACACGAAAAAAAAAATGTTAGAACTTGGTTCTCTTGTAGAGAAGGAGACTTGAGACACAGTGTCTTCGCAAGATCTGATCGAACTTGCGGAGCCCATTCTACTACGGAGAAAAGTTGTTCCTTATTTGTACACCGCGGCCATTCTAAGATCGGTAAAACAAGCGTTTGGACCGCACACTCTCCCTCAGGTGCATAGACGTACAGCAACTACCCCCCCCCCTCTCGCGCCCCCCTCGGCGACTGGTTCTCTGGGGAAGAAACCAAGGTTCCCAACAAGTGCATAAATAAAAATATCAATGGATTGATGATGTCCTCAAAAATGACCATAAGTCAGCAAGAAAACTGGAACTTACCCAGACTCACTCAAGAAATATATTTTGCACTTTGGACTCGCTAGGACTCTTCCTCACAAAAATGTTCGTTAACCGGACTTACTCGTACTGAAATTCACCAAAATATGGCTCAACTGAACTGCCTCAACTAACGCATCGATCTGAGTCTGAATTAGCTCGATTAAGCCGACTGATCAGCGAGTTTGCCGACCTTTGCAACGGACGTCCTTCGATCCCGGGATTACAGGTGTTAAAAATGCTAAGTAGAGAGTTCTTAGAACGCAACGCCAGATGTTCTCGATGGCTGTCAGGTACCTGCATGGCCATAATCCTGTATTACATGACTATATCCGACTAACTAAAACTGCGGAGCCGTCCTTTGACGCCCCGCCTATATATGACCAAAGCTGAACGGCGCGCACGACGGTATACGTTCGGGTGTACGTATTCGCGGAGCTACAGCCGCAATTATACCCTCCGAACACAGGTTGACACCACGGAGGGACACTTAGAGAATATAAACGCTTATTGTGAGGCAAGTGCACTGTTCGTCCAAGGGCCAAGTTCTGCGATGTACCGGACGCCACGGAAAATAGACCTTTAATTATAAAGTGGTCAACTTAGGATACACTTCGTGCGGAAACAATGCAAGTTTATAACACTCCCCTGTTTGTTTGTTTTTTCGTTCTTTTTCAACGAAAGCTGCGCACGCTGATATATTGCACAGTGAAGTCCACGAATGCTCTCGCGATGCGGAGAAGAGGGCGAAAAGAGATGCTTGCGAGCGAATGCCGAAACAAAACCGCCACTACATGCGATGACGGCGCAGGAGGAAAGGAGTTGCTGCTAAAGCTGGCCGATTTCCCACGCCCTGTTCTCCCGAACGGCCGGCCGGCGATGGCCCCTAGCGAGCGTCATACGACAAGCGCGCAGTACCGGCAGTTTTTCTTTGCCGGAGGCGCAAAAAAGAAAGAAAGAAAGAAAGAAAGAAAGAAAGAAGAAAGAAAGAAAGAAAGAAAGAAAGAAAGAAAGAAAGAAAGAAAGAAAGAAAGAAAGAAAGAAAGAAAGAAAGCGGCGATGGTGGTAAGGGAGAGTTGTCCTTGCGGGACCCCTGTGTACCGCTTTTGTTTCTATTCGATGACCACCAACTCCTCCTTTTTCGTCTTCTCTGATTTCTTTTCTGTGGCTTTTATTTTTATTTTTTCGCCACTGTCCGTTTCCTCCGTATCGTCGACACCGAGCGACGGAAGGAGTTTTGTCGATTCCGCGCCACGCCTGGCCCATAAATCTGCCGCCTCGATGCGAGCGCCCGTGTGCGAACTTGTGCTCGTACGAGACCTGGAAAAAGAAAACCACAGGGACTGACCGACGTATACCTCGCCGGTGGCGGCTGTTCTGTTCGTTCGCGTGCGCTGCCGTCTTCACCTCCCGAAAACCGGTCGCGGTTGTCGTGGCTGCTCTTGATGCGGCCCGTGCAATCTCGTCCCGGCGTTCTCTTCTCACGAGAGAGCGGAAACCAGAGCGGGCGTTGGACCGCCCCGGACGTGGCGAAAATGCACCTCCGTTTTTTCTAGCCGGACTCCCACACGCTCGTCCATTTCTTTGTCTTGCGGGGATACACAAGCTCAGGTGGGTTTAAGGGGTTCGCCATCGCGTTGGTTTAGTTTGGCGTCGAATCCCGGGCGTTCGGTTTCGAGGTTGCGAGTCGATACACAGTTTGTCCGTTGGTAACACGCTGTGCTCTATTGCACTACGTGTATATGGCACGTCGCCAGCAAGCGATGCTAAAAACCATTAAACGTGCGGGTTAGCATTGTTTGCTTCTTGTGGTCTATTTTCGTTTTTGTTTTTATTGTTTATATATTTTCAGCCGTAATTAGTGCGTTGCTTGAACGCGCAATGCGCGCGTGTACTTATAACAAAACTTAAAATTGCGGATTGGGATAGCCGGTTCAATAGTTACTTACACGTTCCCGTTTATGTACAATGTAAATACACCCCCCCCTCCTTCTCTAAAACTTCCTGTACTTACGGTGGCCCTACATTGCATTAAGACCAGTCCACCTTTAACTAAGTAACAATGCAAGCCCCGCCGTGGTGGTCTAGTAGCTAAGGTACTCGGCTGCTGACCCGCAGGTCGCGGGATCGGAACCCGGCTGCGGCGTCTGCATTTACGATGGAAGCGAAAATGCTGTAGGCCCGTGTGCTCAGATTTGGGTGCACGTTAAAAAACGCCAGATGGTCAAAATTTCTGGAGCCCTCCACTACAGCGTCTCTCATAATCATATGGTGGTTTTGGGACGTTAATACCCACATATAAATCAAGTAATAATGTGATGACGTCACGATGAAATCCCAAATTTCTGGCCTACGATGTCATCATGGTACCATAGGATGGCCTCATCTAATTAAGTTGATACTTTTTTGGCGGCACTAGTGACACCAACAGTCATGTTTCGGCGTTTTACGAGCCATCTAAGGTTGTCACTTTAATTGTGTCTTCACTGACACGAAATACACAAGGCAGTCACTGAGACAGTGCTGTTGCAGGGAAGAAAAAAAAATGGTCACGCGGAATAACGATGCTGCATAGCGAGAAGGTGTCCGGAAAAAGCACTTTGTTACTCCTATACAATTAAGTAATGCTCGAAATGGCCTCTGCCATCGTAATCAAACAGGAAAGCGTCATGGCCGACAGGCCGTTGCCTTCACCTATTCGTTTACGTTGATAAAAAAAAAAGTGAGCGCGTCCTCTACTTTTGCCTGTATGTAAGTGTTGCTTTATACGTTGCTTTTATAGGAGGTTCTACACGTTGCCAGTTATGACTTCTCGACACATGACAACAGAATCCGCCAAACACTGCTTCGCGTCATACAAAACACCAGCCTAACGGCGCACACCTGATACACTAATGCAGACAAAATAGTACGCCTTAAGGGCAAGTTGACGTCGCAATAAAGAAAAGAGCGACATATAAGGAAGCGTGTTTAACCGCTACTACAGGAAACCAAAGATCAATGAGTTGCACCTATGTTGCGCTGGTTTGGGAATATTTATATGACGCTTAATAGGATACTGTAATTACATCCAAGTTCTAATAGTCACGTTATGGTTGCGTATTACTCTTTATAGTGTAAATTATATATATATATATATATATATATATATATATATATATATATATATATATATATATATATATATATATATATATATATATATATATATATATATATATATATATATATATATATATATATATATATATATATATATATATATATATATATGTGTGTGTGTGTGTGTGTGTGTGTGTGTGTGTGTGTGTGTGTGTGTGTGTGTGTGTGTGTGTGTGTGTGTGTGTGTGTGTGTGACACTAGATATGCTGTCCGCGAAGGCGAAGGCTGGCTGCCTATATACCAATGTCAAGAGAGCGCATACGTAAGAGAAAGCTACGTGAATTTGACCTGCTCTGATTCGGCATTCCCTTCCTTCGAACCAACCGCAATCGTCGTGCCGGATCGACGTCCTGCGCACCTGCCGCGTGGTGCCGAGTCGACGTCCTGCCCTCAAGGACGCCCGACAGGCGAGCAGCAGAAGTGAAAAGAGGCGCACGGCACGTCCTTCGCGGCGCCTAATATTCACGGCGAAACAATGTCTAACGCCCGCGCGCGGGCAATCAATTAGCTCTCCCAAGCGAGGCATCGCTCGTCGGCCCGCGGGTGCTTAGTTTTTTTTTCCCGTCGTTCGTCCCGTCAGCTATTACCACACACGCGAGCCTCCCCCCGAGGCGTCGTGTAACATGGCGAGAGGCAAAGGAGCTCGCTCACAGCGCCACGATTTGGCGAGTACGCCGCACAAACTCCCCGTCACACACAGAGAGAAGCGGCTCAAACGACCATCCGCATCCTTGTGCTCAAAACGCTCGCTACCGTTGCACGGTTAGTCAACCTGCTCGTGGCGTGTACCTGACAGGGTGGCGCTGGAGCAACCACGTGTTCGGTTGCGTTTCTAGCCGGCAGAGTGAGTACGCGGTTCGTCCCGTCGTGGAGTCGGGGCACGCCCGGATGCGCCAAACTGTCGACGCACGTTTCGTCGGGGTGTTTTACTTTTACTTCGGCGGCGAGCCGTCTTCTAAGCGGCTGACGCGTACGGACGTGGATGGTGTGTGTCCTTCGGGCGCGGCTTGCATCACCGGTTCTGGCCCGTCTTTCAGGAAGACGCCGTGATGACCTCGGCTTCTCCGTCGCCTCCACCTCCTCCTCCTCGGCGGATTGACTGCTCCTCCTCCTTGGCGGATTGACTGATATGCAGTAAGCGTCGTCGTCGAGTTTCACTTTTCATGGTAGCGCACTGCGCTGCCCCAACACGCTCGCTCACCCGACGCCCCGAGAAAACGGCGGGTTTTAAAATAACTGGCTGCGTTGTTTTGGAGCTCCTCACCCGCGCGGGCGACTTCTCATATTGTGACGCGGTGAGACCTGCTCGCATGGGAATCTATATAAACTGCGATTATTATACGCGTGCACAGGGTTCCTCTCGTAATGGGGGTGGGGGGGGGGGAAGGCTCGTTGCAAAACCCGCCCCCTCTCACCATTGTGTCAATGTATGGGGCCGACCATGCAACCCTCCCCAACGAGTAGCAGCACCCTTCTCCCTATTATGACAATGTGCGGGGCTGACCCTGCGCCCCCCCCCCCCCTTACTTAAAAAAAAACTTGACGTGGGAGCATTCCACACGGCTCCCCCTCGCCATGCGCCCTCCTATGGCTGTGCCTAATGTGTGCACGATTATGCGTATTCAAGATGATAGATCGCAGACTCACACATTTGTCACTTCGGGTGCGTGAAGTGAGACGATCTAAGTGTACTGGTGGCCCTTTTAATCAAATGTGGCAATCTGTGGTTTAGTAGCGTCACATTTTTCTGTTTGTTTAGCGAGTATATAAGTTTAAAGGCGCGCGCTCTCGTTGTTCCCTGACTGGCTTCGCTTGGCTTTCATTTACTGATCATTTCCTGCGCTCTTGAGTTCATCATTTTACATCTGTATATCAATGAAACCATCTAATAAGAATTATTAAAATAGCAACGAGAAATATAGGTCTGACACATTAAAAACGCATGAAACAGCTTGCAACGAAAGTTATCTCAGAGCATACAACCTAAACTTAGTCGCTGTTCTCGCCTGTACAGTGAACAGGCTTTTGTTGAGGCTTATTTTCAAAGTCAAGGCTATGCACTTCTAAATCAGATTTATTTATTGATCGCTTTATTTATTTTCTCTTTGTGTGCACGCATGCATGTGCAGTTGAAGACAGTAGTTGACTTCCGACAGCAGAGATGCTATAGCCATTTCACTCAAACCATTCAGCAGGACTTAATTTTTGTTCGTGCTTTGCGGTTTGAAGGAACGCTGACGACGGAGACACCATTTCACCACGTGAACAAATGTACGAAAAAAAATAAGTGAATGTTAATTCAGCATATTTCGGCGAGCCTACAGCATTAACTGTCCAATCAGTGGCACCGTTTGTGACCTGGGTTAAAAGCACTTGCAAACGGCATGTATCACCAGAGTTCGAGTATACCAGCGTATATGTCATATATTTCGCATGATTGACGCATACAGCTGCTTGATTTTTTTTTTTGCTTTGCATTAGCATGCAGTTTAATGCTTTGCACAACGATGGCATTTCATGACGCTGCGGATCACAGCATTTGGCCAGATGCGGAAAGTGCGTACCAAAGGCTGTACACGAATTGCCCCATACCGAGATGTGCGCTCCTGAAGGCACGTTTCTTCCGTACATAGGTTTAAAGAGAACCTTGAATCAGATCAAAAGAGAAAGAGAACAGTCCGGAGTGAAGTCGACACTGTTACCACCCGGATACGCGAACGATTACGTTCGTGGAGACGATTGCAACAGTTCTTTCGTTAACTGTACATTAACTATACGGAAGCGATCGGCGGTCAGCCTTTTTGCGATGACCACAGATTCCGTTTCCAATGTTGTTCGGATTTCATGGAGAGATGTGTACGCATTCTTTTACAGGCGCTGGGTGTAGTGCGTTCCTGACCTGACGCCTAGTGAATAATGGCGTATGTAAGAGCTCTCTCGTTTACATTCCATACGCACGCAACATGTTCAAGTAATCTGGCATGCGTTAACCACTACGTCGCGGGCGCACATGCCGCACCAGGCATAATAGAGCGCGTCTATAAATGTCCCTCGTGCAAGCCTAAGAAAATTAAAAGGTCAAAACCGCTAGAGGGCATGGGAGCTGTCGCAACGTTTTGTCGGCAAAAGCTCGCAGAATCGAATCCCGGCTGGGACGGCCGTTGCAGTTTTGATGGAGACGAAAACTAGAGGTTCATGTACACTTAAGTTTAGGTGCATGTCAAAAAACCCCAGACGGTCGAAATTTCCGCATCCCTCCATTGCGGCGTCTCTCTTATTCATATCGTGATTTTGGCACGTGAAACTCCCAACAATTACTATTAATTAACTGCAAATGTAAAGCCATGATTCGCCTTTAAGCTAGCTCCACCAATCTTTGTACAAGTCTCCTCTCTTTTGGGTGCAATCGAGAGTCCACCACAACACCTGGTTTGTCCCGGAAACATGCTATTTCCCGAGTGGTGTCCACTTGAAAATGAAACTATGAATTCTTACCGAAGACCAATGTCCATGATCATGATTAAATTTTAGAGGTAGTTGAAACAGTAAACATACATCTGGACACAGTGTATGGTAGACTACGGGCAAAGATGACTTCAACAAGCACATAATAAACACCAGCACTCAGTATGTACTCATTCAAAGCGTCGTCATCGGACGAGGAAAACGACCAGGTTAGCGCTACCCGGTAGTAGGAAAATTTATGCCTCTGCTCCCGAGTACACTATACCACATAATGCTTCAGGAACGTGAGATGGAGAGCTCGTTGCTTGGGTCGTGAAAGTTCGTCAACTAGTTAACGGCGTGGCGGCTTGACGAGGTAGTGTGTGAAAAACGCCATAAATTCATTATTTTCCCGCACTTTCTGCCTGGAAGAAAGGTTGTCTTTATAAATTTCAGGGCCCAGTCTTTCAATTTAACTGAAAATCTTGGCGGCAGACATTTTGATCAGCATCCCTTCAATGTTCTTGTTATTGTTCTTGTTGCCCTTTACTTGTGGCTCATACCACTGTGGGGGATCGGCCAATAATTTAGCGGTCTTACCTGAAGGCCGAAATGCCGATGCGTGTGAATGATTACTCGTCTTTTTTTTTTAATCGTGCGATTTCTTTTTCAGCGCGGGAACGTTCAAAATTGTCACCACAGAAACAAACTGAGAATTCGCAAAGAAAGTCTGATAGTCTCGACTGAAGGCTTTCTGGTGCGAGCGCCAATTTATGAGCTGGCAAATCATGCCTTAAATATTAGCGACCTTTAGGCTTACCGAAAATGTTGCTGTGATTTGCTCTCAGAATACCGCGCTCTCTAGCAGTTGTATACTCTGTGAGCTGTTGATAGTGAACAATAGTAAGCTTGTTGCATTGTCCCAGCGAAGACCTGCATACGTGTGCGTCGTGACTTCGCTGAGACAGCCCCGAACGAAAGCGAAGCGTGCTACGTGAATTGAAGTCATTGTATACGCACGTCAGGAAAATGAGAAGACTGATCGTGTGACTGTATAGTGGATGGGCTTCCTCTGCTCTCTACCATCCCATTTTTAGTCCATCCGCCGTAGTGAGCATACGTCATTAGACAAATAAAACGAACCTAAGTTATCTTTGCACGGTCATTCGTGGATTTCTGTGTCATACAAATAATACATAACTCGCGTATTCTTCAGCGTGGTTACTTCGGCAAGTCGGGGAACATGCGCGCCTGTCCATTACGCGCCTGCACAAGTGATCGCTCGGGCCGGTCTATTTTTAAAAACAGTATCAATGCCCGCGTCACTGCGCTGGCCTGCGATGCGTACAGGCCAGCAAAGAGCCTCTTCTTTCTTTTATTTTAAACCTTCATCCGTTTCCCTAGTGTAGGGTAGAAAACAGGAAGCGCATCTCGCTGACCTCCCAGCCTTTAATTCATTTCCTTCATTCTAGTTTAGTAAGCCAGTAAATCATCAACTTGACGATCGTGTATTCGCAGCCGTTTAAACACTACTCTGCATTTCTTATGTGAACAAAATTGCGATTAAAACGATCAGACTCCAAAATTACACTTTTCTCAAATTAACTGGACACCTTCTATACCTAACCAACCTTATCTTACATTTAATGTTTTTCATTCACTTTATACTGCAGCTTTCTGGTCAATAATCTGTAGTAGATATTAGCAGTACACTATATAGCAAGTATACTAGCAGACTGATCGCAGCTATAAAATCGACACTACAATGGTTACGCCGGATTCTCGACCCTGTTGTAAACATGTGCATACGATGAGGAGCCCGAAAATTTTGCGATATCAATGCATGGGTTTCATCGAAATCCTTGGCCACCCCAACTCGGGAAAGGTAGTTTTCACGGCATTTCGTGTATAGTATAACGCAACGCTACCGTACTTTTCAATTCCCATTCAACACGAAAGAACCTGCGTAGGTATGATCGCTGTTCGTACGTTTGTTGGGCGTCAAAGGCGCCTTCCAACTGTGCTAGCAACGTCTTACTGCCGCGTAGTACACGTTAAGAGGCGTACGCGAAGTAGCTTCTTATGAATGGGAGAAAGGCTTCACGAGATGACGAAAGAGGCCTGTCTGGCTTGCGTTTGAGCTGGCAGGGCAAACTCAAGTGCGGCGACAACCTTGAAAGCTGTCGACGGGCGTAGAACGCCAACAATGAACGTCGCGTCGATAATGGACGAGCTATGACTTAGTAATATTTCAACCGTGTTTATTCGACCGTGCAAATAACGCGTGACTAGCGGGCGTCATAGTTCGACGCGCACACAATGAATTTTCCTTTGTGGAGCGCCATGCTTGCCGAATCAAGGACGCTAACCGGAAAAACATGGTGTTTCCGTTCGCTCGAGCTGTATTTGTATTTTTGTTTTGCGTCTCCGCATACGCCGTTCACAAGTGCATCCAGGCCCCGTTGTTTTTTCAGTTCGTTCGAGAAAACTTGGCAGAGCATTTATTTCGCGTGAAACCAGCTATAGTGTGTCAGGGAGTTGGTGAACGATGGCCCGTAAAAAAAGAGAGTGAAATAAAGAAAGTTCTGTCTCCTTGCGCTACCCACGATGGTTTTTCATCTCCTAACACCAACATGACCAACAGTAACGTCGTCAAAGAAAGAAGCTGGCGACACATACAAGTTCCGGTA